GGGGGGGGGGGGGGGGGGGGGGGGGGGGGGGGGGGGGGGGGGGGGGGGGGGGGGGGGGGGGGGGGGGGGGGGGGGGGGTCGCGCATTTGAAACGATCAACACATGCTTCAGGGTCCGGGCATCATCGCTCGACCTCGCTAAGGAAGCACACCACGCGTGTGGCCCGGTATAGGACGGAGAAACGGCAACAAGACACTCGCGGGTTTTGCGTACGAGACTCGCCTGATTTCGCAAGAGAAGTCGCGGGTTTCCGCAAGAGACTTGCGCGTTTTCCGCAAGAGAAGTCGCAGGTTTCCATAAGAGATTTGCGGGTTTTCCGCAAGAAAAGTCGCGAGTTTCCGCAAGAGACTTGCAGGTTTTCCGCAAGAAAAGTCGCACGTTTCCGAAACATACTCCCGGGCTTTCCGCAAGAGTTACGAACGGCAACGCAACGAAACGCCTCTTCGATTTTCAAGGGAGGTAAGGGGAGGACGAGGGTCACCTTCACGACAATCCGGCGAAATCTTGAGGCATCGCGCTGCGAACAACCCCTCCGCTACCAGCTACGCCGTCCGCAAGCTATATTTTTCGCGCATCGTACTCGTTTACGGTGAAAGCTAAACGCCATAGAGAGGCTGCATCTATCACACACCTGCTGTTGTGGGCATGACTAAAGAGACCTGTGGATCCGACATGGAATCTTCATGGGTAGGGTACCAACAGGATAGCCGAGAGCCCCAGCTGCGTGTTTCTACTTTCTCGCAACAGTCACCGAGGATAGACGACCACGACCAACGTACAGTAGTTCACAGCTAAGCATGCAGATGCAGAGGTTTCACGACAAGCCGGTTGACCATAGAGACAGGCTATCCAGACTCGACTTCACTATTGAGGAAGCAGGAGGGAAACCGGCGTCGTAGATAGAGCCTGAGGTGAGCAGGCCGTGCCGAGCAAGTCACCCCCCCGTGAGAGCCTTGTCCGGTGAGAACCCGGCGTGCTCCGTCCCGGCTTTGTAGGGATGTGAGGTCAATGAACTACCGACTACGGCATGAACGACATTGAGTACCTCCCCCTCCCCCCCACGGCGCCCCCTTCCTTCTCACCTGGAAGAAATGGGCGAAGTTCCTGCGAAGATTGAGCCGAACCTCGGCGACCAGCGGCATCTCCGCGTCGTCGACTTGCGCGATCACCTCCCCGCCTTGCATGACCCACTCGACACCCCCCTCCTCGTTCTCTCCGCCGCCGCCGCCGCCGCCGTCGTCCACGGCCGCGATGCCGACCCCCACATTTAAGTCGAACAGGACACCTCCCTCACCGCCGTTGGCGTGGCCGCCGTCGCCGCTAGCGGCGGAGGGTTCGAAAGGGTACTGGATAAGGGGAGCGGGGGGCGAGTCGCCTCCCAGGCAGCCCCAGGGTTGCATGGCTTCCTCTCCTTCGATGCTGCTGCCGCCGCGGCTTCGTGAAACCGGTTCCAAAGGCGTAGGGCTGCACGATGAGCCAAAGCTGGTGGCTGCCGCCGCCGCTGCAGCAGCAGCAGCGCCAGCGGGAGCGGCAGCTTCTTCTGGTAGTGAAACCGACAAGTCATGTGCTGGGAGCCCTTCGCGCGACCCTCCGCCTGACAGGACACAGACACGGCACCAAAGAGCAGTAAGGCAGAGCGGCGCTCAGGACAAGAACGGTGTACGGCCAGCAGTGATACTTGCACTGTTCGATGTACAGCATATCCAGTATGCTATGCAAACAAGTCAGCGGACACAGACACCGCGACAAAGACGCTCAGGGGAAGAACGATGCACGGCCAGCAGTGTACCTACAATGATAGTTTTTAGTGTATCCACTCCGCTATGAGTCGGCGCTGGCTTGTAGCATATGTAGTGGATATGCTGCACATCTAAAATACACCAGTTAACAAACATGGCGCAAGGCGTGCTTACGCCAATAGGACACGGCAACACCACCAGAGCTTAGAGCTTGAGGCTGGGCCAGAGAGGTGCGATTTCAGCCCACAGCACATGGGTGAAAGCGTGCAGTACGGCTCGCTAAAGTCATGGGGGGTGCCAGATGCCATGCGGCAGGATCAACCACAAGACACGACTAGTGAGAATGCCATGGAAAATTGAGAAAAGTTTCAGCGCGTGGGGTTCACTTTCGATGGTGTGCGTTTTTATTAATAGCATCGACCGCGCTAATTGGCTGAGGGCGGTTGAAAACACAAAACACTTCTAAATGACATCACGCGTGTGTGTGTGTTTTCGTCCCATTTATCATGGCGCCAGTCTTACCGTACAGAAGTACAACACAAGATAACACACCCCTGGACCGATTTTCAAAGCACGATTACGACGCCACGACGAGAGGATGCAAAAACGAAACGATACATTTACCGAAAGCTCTCGACGGGACGGCTTTAACGCCGTCATTTTCGGCGCTGTGACTCTCTGCAGTTGACCAATCAAGCTATGAAAATCGGTTCTGGGGGTGTGTTATCTTGTGTCGTATACGGTATGTGTACGTTTCATGTATCAGCCCCGGCCACGGCCCGGAATAACCCACTGCTCATTGGTATGAGACGATCGAAAAAAAAAAAATGAATGTATTACAGGGGGTCTGGCGGCTTTCGCCGCCTCGCTCTATAGATCGATTCCAAGATACGCGATAAGTAGTACTCAACATTCGTGCCAGTAAAAATACAGCACTATTGAAAATGAGAATATACAGGTATCAACTGACAGTAGATATCCGAATGCGTTGCAGCAGCAAGCTGTAGCACGGCACACAGAGTTCACGTGTCATGCGGAGCGCGGAGCTGATCGCTCGGCCAAACTTATTTTGACTGCTGTGGTGTGCCAAACGTACGTCGTGAGCCACACAACTGCGATGAGATGAGCGACCCCAGCGAGAGAAAAAGGACTGAGCAACAAACCGACCAAATCGTCCGGCGTCTACTCGCTTGGTTCATCGCGCATCATCAACTGACTGAATAGATAATATCCGTATGCGTTGCAGCAGCAAGCCGTAGCGCGGTACACAGAGTTCAAATGTCATGCGGAGCGCGGAGCTGATCGCTAGGCCAAACACATTTGGACTGGTGTGTGTGGTGTGCCAAACGTACGTCGTGAGCCACACAACTGCGATGCGATGAGCGGCCCCAGCGAGAGGAAAAGGACTGAGCAAAAAAAAACGACCAAATCGTTGCTGTACTGCTATGCAGGCGTCATCAGTAGCTAATAGTTTAGGCTAATGAGCGAGAGAGATCACGGAGAGTGCGGAGAGTCAAAAATAGGTGCCATTCGTCACATCATGTGAAAAAATGAAAAAAAAAATGTGGTGACCAATACCGCTGTATTGTTCATGGATGAATAATGAGCGGGCTCGCCGAGAGCCGACCGAACCATTAACCGCGCCCGATGGATTGAGGCGTCCGCTACCTGGTTCGTTCGGTTTCCGCGAGCAGGCGAGACAGAACCACCAGTCAGTGAAGTATTGGAATGTCAGATCCGAGGCGGAACGATGAACGAACGGAAAATATCAGAAAGCTCTTAAGATCCCGGATGAGATGAGAGATGGAAATAAATGAAGAACATGCGTACGGACATGTGAGAGCCGAGACACAGACACGCTGGTGTGCAAGAGGGGAGAGACTGGCATGCAATGTCATGTGGGTATCGATCGGTGGAGAGAGCAGAGCAAAAGGGCGAAAAGTTCCGCGAGCGAGCGACGCAGAGTGAGGAGACATACTACGTGAACGGGGAGCGGAGAAGAAATGACAACACAAAGAAGGCAACGGAATGTTCGAAGCAGTGCAACGTACCGACATCCCAACAAGGGAGCACCGAGAGACAAACTGGTGGTGTTTGAGAGCAGAGAGAGAGGGGGGGGGGAAGACTGCACAGAATGCGATGCGTCGTGGATGGGGAGAATAGGAAAGTGACGACCGCAAACCAACCGCGAGCGACTGAGCCAGATGCGACGGAGGCAGACGCAGAGCGAGAAGAAAAAAATATGACAAGACTGTACGTACGTACGTAAAGAGGGAGCGGAATAATTAAGAAGCGCCCGGAATGTCCCTGGGAGATGGACATGCGGCTCTGTGAGCGGCCGAGAGCGCCGAAATGGAGCTCTGTCAGCGCCCGAGATATTTCTGCTTCAATTTCGAGTGAATCTTTCAAGTGAAAGAATGATACGTATCAGACGCGGTACGGCTCGCCCGAAAATAACCCACTGCTTGTCGACAAGAGACGACCGAAAGGGAAATTACACGGCACCTGTCTCGACCGCCGTTTCATCGGTGACGGACGCTTGATCAGGCGAGCCCTTTCCCTCGAGGCCTGGATCGACCAACATGATCCCGGCCACCTCCCCCTTCGCAGCAACGGGGAGTGATACCGCGGAACCTCCTCCTCCGGCTTTCCCTCCCCAAGCGGGATCGCCAACCCCGCTCGCCGACTGCTGCGCCTCGCCCAGGTGCAGCAGCGTCAGCGTGGAGGACGACGAGGACAGGCATGGGGAGAACGACAAAGCCTCCTCGCCCCAACCCACGCCCTCAGACACTCCCATCGCCGAACGGCCTTCGGCGTGGCCACCGCCGCCGCCGCCGGCCGCAGATGGCTTGGAAGCCCCGGCGACGTTTGATCCCTCTGCCGGCGCGGCTGCAGCGGCCAAGTCGGCCGTCAGTGCTGCCGTGGTGGTGTCGGTTCTACCTCTCTTGTACTCGTAGGTGTTACTGAGACCGCGATGTTCCACGTCCGTCGGGCTTGCATCGATCGCCATGCCGTCATGTCCCGCACGCGCCGAGTTTGCATCGATCGCCATGCCGCTGCCTAGACCGTGCGCCTCAATAGCCGCCTTCGAAGCCGAGGAGGCGGGGGTGGTGCTGCCACGGCGGGTGCTGGGGGTAGGCCGGCGGCGTATGGCGAAGGTTTGCGTGTAGGGCACCGTATCGTCCCTGTACGATACAAAACAAAAGGGGAGGGGAGGGGATCGGGTGAAAAACGGGAGAGCAGCGTGGGACCCGTGAATCGGAGAGCGTTGAGTATTGCGGGAGAATCAAGGACTTCATGCGGTGTGCATTTTCCGCACCCCTGAAGGAAAATCACCAGATAAATAAAACGGCGGCGGATGGCGAAGGTATGCGTGTAGGGCACCGCATCATCCCTGCACCATGAAGGGGGGCGACTTAAGACGCGGAGAAGCGTGGGACCATGTATGGCATCTGTGGATCGGAGAGCGTTGAATGTTGCAGGGGAGAACCAAGCAACTCATGCAGTGTAGTACTTTTTCTGCACCCCTTTGTGGAAAATCACAACATAGAAAACGTAGAATTGTACATACATCCAAATTCCAAGTGCTATGTCTTCTAGAACGGCAGTAAAGTGCACAAGTCGTCTACAAAGCCGCATTCTTGATCGAACTGCCCTGCAAAGGACCTAGAAAGCAAAGCACGCCAGAATCCGGGGGGGCGTCTCACGTTTCATCCCAGGTGAGGTCGAGACCGGCGACAAAATGCTCTCCGTCCGGCATCCACGCGGCGTGAACGTCGAAAGGCTGGGAACGACACCGGCTTATACACTGCCCATGCCTGGCATCCCAGAGTTCCGATGTGCTGGGGCAGAGAAAGGCGAAGGCAGGAGTTTTCGCAGAAGAGGCAGGCAAATACGTGTAATTATAGGGTTGAAACAGGCTATAAAAATGAACCCAGTATCCAGCCGGTGTTCTTTCCATTCACTGCGAAGACTTCAGCACATCCCCTCCTTCGACTGTTGTGGTGATATCTCCTAAGGGTAGAAATATTATGTACTTTTGAAAGAAAAACAAAAGGTCAACCAGCGGGAAAGGGGGACAACTGGTCGCTAGTGGGATGGGGTTTCTCGATGATGATTGCAGAGGCATTGGACCGAGAGTTGAATTTGGCTCGTAACAACGCGATCTCTGCAGTCGAGCTTCCAATGCACGAACGATCCAAAGACGGGCCGTTGAGGGGCCTTGTTCTACAGTCAACAGTCAGGTTACAGCACCGCGGGCGGTCCCACCCAGCCTCACACTTGTCTAGACTAGCTAACGGTGGGGCTTAAAAGCTCAACAGTCAACCCCACATCTCGACTAATCTATTAGTTGATAACACAACGCAAGCAAAATGATCGGACTCACAAGCTGAAACGTCAACCCTCACCTACTACCATCATAACCCTCGCTGGCTAACGATGGGGATCACAAGCTCAACAACAGTAAACCTCACCTACTACCAGTTACCCTGGCCAGCCAAAATGATGGGGCTCACAAGCTCAACAGCAGTAAACCTCACCTTGGGTTGAAGGGGTTGCCGTTGGGCTCCTCCAGGCACGACAGAATGAACCTGCCGCAAGGAGACCTGCCAGGCCGCGCGCGCGCGGGAGGGGGCGGGGGGGTACTCATAGTCGTGCATGCCGCAGCCGTCAATACCATTGACCTCGCATCCCTACAAAGCCGGGACAGAGCACGGCGGGTTCACACCGGAGCTCTCACATCACGCGGGGAGGGGGGGCGTACCCATATGTTTTGCATGCCTCAGCGGTTAGACCATTGACCATCCGTCCTCGCGAGGACGGAGCATTGTTCCCACAGCACCGATCACCGATGGCCAATTCGTTCCTTCCTACTTTGCAAAAGGTGGCTCAAAAATGTATTCCCTAGCCTAAATCTGTCCTATCGGTATGGGGGAAAGGGGGGGGGG